GAAATATTTCATGTAGCTTATATACCTGTTAAAAGGAAAATACTCATGCATCTCAGTAAAAATCTTTAGTAGTATCCATCCAGATATTTGACTATGCACAGCTGCTAATAATCTGCAGAAGAAATTGTCAATTTAATGTATTTTATGGTATTGTTTGGCATATTGGCGCATCAAAGCCTATAACAGTACCTAATGCCCTAAGCTTTATAAATCTGTAATATGGATATAACTGTACATTTTAAAATATAGCTGCTTGGCTCAGATTAGAAGGGGTCAAAATCAATCAAGACTTATTACCAGAACAGTCAAACTGAAAACAATGGCTCCTTGCATGAAAAAGCGCAATGGCTTTAGTCCTGCAGAGCTCTCTGGTTACAAGATTGGGATGCCACATGCTTTAATATTGGGTTAGCATAAAGGCTGCCTTGAATGAACCACCATCAACATTTGAATTTACTGGAGCCAGGATTTCACCCTTTGTGCATAAGCTAAGCTTCTCCTACATCACTAATTAATTCAGCTTGTGGTAGTGAAAGAGCTGCAGGAATCTGGTCTGTCTTCTTTATGGGCTTTGCCTGATTTCTGCATTTGTTGTCTTGAACAACTTTTTGCCACATGTTCTTAGTGATGCAAACAGCTTGGCACCTTGTAGAGCAGCGATTCTTAACCTTGGGCATCCTGCGGAGTCATGAGAACCACTGAAGTGCTGCAGGGAGTGTGAAGATAGAAGTAGGCCCTGCCTGCTTCTCCATCCCCGCTGCCTGGCCCCTCTGCAAGGCACTATATTAATTAATAAATAGGTTTGCTTTTGAAATGGGAGGTTGCTCAACTTGTGAAAGTCACAGTAGATACCCTTGAATCTAAAAAAGTTGAGAACCACAGATGGAGAAGACTGGTTTGGTTTTAAAGCAACTATTATCGTTGTTTCACTTTTTCTTCTAAAAAGTAACACAATTATTGGGTTTTCATAAGCAATTGTTTTAACCCGAGTTAAATATCAGTTCCTATATAGGCCAGAAATTTTCCTCTCAAATAACTAGGCCACATCTGAAGATGATGCTTTTGTGCCCACAGATGTCTTTTTCCTGGTAATTTTAAAGGTGTGCAGTTGGCTGGGGGAAGCAACGGAAACATAGTGTATGTTGTTTATTGCCATGCAAAGAGCCAGGAGCAGGGCTGGACACAGGCATGGGCAAACTGGGTGGCTACCCAGGGCCTGGACAGAAAGGGGGCCTGAAAATGGTCATTATTATTAACATCATCATCATCATCTCTGGCAAAGGGGGGCCCAATACTAAAAGTTTGCCCAGACCCAGCAGGGATCTAGGTACGGTGCTGGTTAGGAGTCGCAGTACCCAGTGGTCTCTCAGCCAGGGGCAGATCTAGAGTTTCAAAACGGAGGATGAGATGCGTCCTCACACATAAAACCCTGCACGTTTTTTACCAGTTAAACTGAACTAGAAGCTTTATCAGTGTGCCAGGGGCTTAGGGCTGCATTCATCTGTTTCAGTTGGAAGCAAAAACCGACTATAACTGGATTGGAGCGAGTTAAAACCAAATCGGCAGGGTGATGACGGGGGAGATTTGTGACGCAGCACAGGCAGCAGAAGAAAGGATTTGTGGAATGTTGAGACCATTAAAGAAGAAGAGAGGATGGTTAAGTCTCGTGGGACGATGGGGTGGCAGACGATGAGTGATCAAGCCAAGTGATCCCTCATCTCCGCCTTTAGCTACCAAGCCGGCTGTCATCTCTGCCTGGAGCAGGCAGCGAAGCAGGGAGAGCGGGCTCCAGTGCATCTCCTTCTCCCCATTGCCATCTCGGATCTCAGCCCGTCAAGGCAAGAGAGGACAAGCGGTCATATCTCCAGGTGGAAGTCCTAAAAAGCACAAGCAGATGAAGTTAGCCCAGGTGAAAGACACAGCCAAGAACTGAACCCAGATGTGTTGAGTCTAGGGTGGCCATCAAGGTACCCCAAGAATAGAGGACAGCTGCATGAACATTGTGTGCCTCATGCTCAGGTTCAGACACGATGGCCAGTCGTGGTGCCTCTGGACACAATGATCTTATGGGAGGGATGGCGGTAGTTTTCTCCCAAGTGGATGTGGATGGCATACGATGTCATTGGGTCCTGGTCTTCACTGTCCTCTTATGCTAAGTTTAGGCAGACTTTGCCCCTGACAGCCCACTTAGCCAGTCACCTTGTTGCTGCTGAGCTGACACTAGTCACGTACCTCATGGCTTAGACCAGGGGTAGGCAAAATTCGGCCCACAGGCCAGATGCGGCCCACCAAGCCATTTGATTCGGCCTGCGGGGCCCCTAAAAAATTTACAAAATTAGTATTTATCTTCCCCTGGCTGCCTGTTATGTGGCCCTTAATGGCTTACCAAAACTCAGTAAGCAGCCCTCCACCCAAAATAATTGCCCACCCTGGCTTAAATATTAGGGGTGTGTGGAATTTTGCTGGCAGTTTCATTTTGACTCGTTTTGAGCTCAAAACAGCTAAATTGAAATGAAACGGAGAGCTTTGGAACAGCCTCAAAATGAAACAAGGTGAGTCAAAGTTTTGAAATTTTCTAAACACTTTGAGTTTCAGAGCTCAAGCTGGGCTTGCCTTCCGGGAAACAAACTAAAGTAAGGAGGGGAAGGGAGGGAAGGAGCACTCTCATTATTGACTGTAGCTGGCCAATGACTGTGGTCCCTTCCAATCCCAGTGCTCTGGGGGAGGGATGGAAAAACTGCATAAAAGGCAGCATTGTTTGAACTGCCCTGCTTTCTGCGTTGGGGTCAGTTAAGTGAGGGCGCACCTTAACGCATGCACACACGCACGCACGCGCGCGCACACACACAGTGTCACCCACCCACGTCACAAGATTTTCCTGTCAGCAGCTAAAGGTGCAGGGCCCCAGAAACCAGACTGCCCCTGCACCAATCTCCTTGAAAGCTGGCAGGCTTCGTGGCCTCAGCAGGGGCTACCATTCCTGCAGCTTTCACCCTGCTGTGGCTTAACACATAGACGTGACACGAGTTTTTTGCTTTCAAGACTTTGAGGTGCAGTTTCCCTGAAACCCCTGCACCAATCTTCTTGAAACTTCACAGGCTTCATGCTCTCAGAAGGGACTACCATTCCTGCAAGGTTTATCCAAATCAGGCCAGAAATGACAAAGCTGTAGGCTGCTTTGAGCTTCTCCATTATAGCCTATGGGCGCAAGGTTGAAACAGCTCATTTCAATGAAATAAAACGGAACAGCAGTTTCGACACAAAATGCTGTTCCGTCGAAACACAATGGTGCCGTTTCACACAGCCCTATTAGACATGTATATGGTAAAATGGATGGTAAGGAGTTACAGCAAAAGCTTTGTTATCCTGCACCCCTGGGGAATAGGGGTGCTAGATAACAAAATCTGCTGGTTATCTGAGAGGCCTGAACAGGTGTCTTTGCCTGTTTCGGCTGCTGCTTCTCCTGCCCCATTGCTGCCCCTCCCATGGGCCTGAGGGATAGGGAGGCGGGTGCCGTGCAGGCTGCTATGCCCCAGGGCATGGGGGCTCCGTGAAACCAGAAGGGTCACGGTGGCGCTTCCGGTTTCGCTTTTACCTTGCAAGCTGGCACGCCGGTTAATAGAGCATGCCAGCTTGTAAAGTGCCAGATAACATAGCTTTTACTGTACTTTGATTTACAACACCCTGAGACAGAGGAGACAAGGTGTCTGCTTGCTCCTCATCTTCTTGTAAATGGTTTGTTTGGTCTTCTCAAGGCTGCTCTCTCAGTAGACTGGGCATGTGCGATACCATATTTATTCAGGCATTCACCTAAAATACATTTTTGATAATATTCACAACACAACAAGCTCCCACAGGCGGCTGCAGTGGTGTCAGTGGCAGGGGCATAGCGGTGGTGAGCAGGGAGCTCGCGCAGGCTGCTGCGGCCATGCTGGCAGGGAGTATGGCAGCAGGGAGCTCCTACAGGCAGCAGTGGCGGTGTCGGCAGCAGGCCAAGCAGGGAGTTCCCACAGGCAGCTGTGGTGGCGTTGGGGGCGCAGTGTTGATGAGCAGGGGGTCCCACAGGCCGCTGTGGCGGTGTTCGGTGGTGGCAAGCAGGGAGCTCCCGCAGGTGGCCACAGTGGTGTCAGCAGCAGGGGCATAGTGACAGTGAGCAGGGAGCTCTCGCAGGCCGTCCCGTTGGCAGCGTAGGGAGGCGGTGGTGGCGGTGGGGTTGGGCTGCGTGGGGAGCTCCCCAGGCACTGGCAGCAGGGTCGGGCTGACCAGGGATCTCCCACCGGCCTGGCACTGGTGTTAGCGGCCCGGTGGGGCTGGGGGGGGGGGGGGTCCCCTAGGGGGGG